TCCCAGTCAGCGGAATTACAGGAGTTTTCTCTGTGATTTCAGCTTCTCGCAGTCAGAACCTGACTCCTCCCCTCTCCCTTTGGCACGATTTCAGGTCCAAGCCAACCCCGGCCGGTCGGTGCTGACGTTGGAGGCGGAGGACGTGGGGGAGCTGGAGAAGGCCCTGCGGCACGTGGCCTACCTCAACTCGCGGCAGTTCCCCACCCCCGGCGTCCGGCGGCTCCGGCTCACCAGCACGGCCAGGTGTGTGCTGGCTTTCCCAGGGCCTGTCTGCCACTGGCACTGGAGGGGAAATGTGTGCACTTCGGTTTTTAAGAACCCAGCCTCCCTCTGTAAGGAGAGACGAGCCGTCCCTTGTCCCCCAAGCGTCTGAATGACGTCTGTGTGACAGTTGGAAGCAGGCCTTGGGAGTGGCCGCGTCTCCTGTTCCTGTGGCATCCCTGTGTGCCCTCCATGTGCCTCAGAGCCCTGACCTTCCCTTCCCTTCCCTTCCCCGTGCAGGTGTTTTAATGAGGCCGCCTGCGCCTTGATCCCTCCGGTCGACGGCTCAGTGATGGTTTTGCAGCCGGAGGAGCCCAAGATCAGCCTGAGCGGCGTCCACCATTTTGCTCGAGCAGCTTCTGAATTTGAAAGCTCAGAGGGGGTTTTCCTTTTCCCTGAGCTTCGGATCATCAGCACCATCACCAGAGAAGTGGAGCCCAACGGGGAAGGGGACGAGGACCCCACAGGTACGGCCCGTCAGCCTGGGACGGCTCATGGCCTTGTCTCAAATCTGAGCGGCCGAGACCACTGTTGCGGCCCACGCCTGGGGCCCTTGTTCTTGGGGGGTTGGGAGACTTGAATGTTTTGACGCTTCTGGAATCTGACGCGAAGGCAGAGCTCATTGTGATCTTTGGAAACCCACTTGGATTTTTCTGGCTTGACGTCTGCTGGTGGGTCCCCCCCTCGGGACAGGGTCCCCCATTCTGACCTTCCAGTGGCAAGTCTTCCTAACTGGGCTGCTTCTGCAGTCCAAGAGTCCCTGGTGTCCGAGGAGATCGTGCACGACCTGGACACGTGTGAGGTGACGGTGGAGGGCGAGGAGCTGAACCCCGAGCAGGAGAGCCTGGAGGTGGACCTGGCCCGCCTGCAGCATAAGGGCATAGAAGTGAGCCGCTCCGACCTGGGCGTGGTCTTCACAGGTGAGAGGCCCCTGCCCTCCTCTCAGGGCCCCAGAGTTCCTGAAGGGCGTTTCCTGGGTCAGGCAAGGGCGCGAGCACTCCCTGCCTCGTGTCCCGTCCTGACGGGGGTCGAGGCCAGGCTCGTGTCACATCCTCAGGAGGGAGACGCCCGCACACTCTGGGTTCCCTCCCGCAGTTGGAAAGCCAGTGACCGCTGGCTCAGCTGGCTCAGCAGCCCGGTGCCTGGCTCCAGCCGGCCTTTGCCTGCGGCCCTGGCCCTGCCGGTGCTCCCAGCTCAGCCACCGCCCTGTCTCACTCCCCCGCAGGCGTGGACACCATGGCCAGCTACGAGGAGGCGCTGCACCTCCTGCGCTATCGGAACTGGAACTCCAGGTCCTTGCTCGACCGGAAGTTCAAGCTCGTCTGCTCTGAGCTCAACGGCCGCTACATTAGCAATGAGTTTCAGGTGGAGGTGAGTGCAGGCTCCCCTGGAGAAGGGCCCCATGCGTGGCCCTGGGGTTGGCAAATGCCAATGTTTAAGCCTGGGGCCTCTGGAGGGAGCTGGTCGAGCTGAGAGCAGGCGCAGGGAGTGGGGCCGGGGCTGTTTGAGGTGTGACCTGCGTTAGGAAGAGCAGCACCGGGAGTGAGGCTGTTTGCAGTTGGTGAGGCCCTGCTGTGAGGAGATCCTCGCTCAGGTGAGGCTGCTGACGCGGGGCCGGCCCAGGGCCTGCTATGGTGACTCGGCCACAGTGGCCAGAGGGCCTCTCCCTGCTGAGTCTCTGTCCCTCGGCTTCTGTGGGACACATACCTCTGGAACCCCGCATCCACGTGACCTCCTGGCAGCAGGAGGCTACCTCCTGGCAGCAGGAGGCTAAGCTCACGGGCAGACCAGTCGATGGGAGCTTTGAGCCAGAGGGTCACGCTTTAAAAGGAAATGAGTGGTTGCGACCTGCACGCGGCTGTGGTTTCAGGGACGAGGGGGAGCCCGGCCAGCGCTTCTCAGACGCCCTGTGGCTCTTCCCCAGTCGGATTCTTCTAGAAAGTGCTGCCAGGATGAGTTACTTGAAGTGAAACATTCCTGGGGGTGACAGCGTCACCTTGCCACAGAGTGTCTAAGTGTTTGCTGTGGTTTCTCCTGTCCTTTTCCCGCCTGATCACCAGCACCATCCGGGGAGCTTTGGGGGCCGCTGGTGTCCCCCCACAGGGGGGACATGTCCGTCTGAGCGCATGTCCGTCTAGCACACTCAGCTGCCTCTCTGTCTGCCGCAGGTGAACGTGATCCACACGGCCAACCCCATGGAGCACGCCAGCCACATGGCCGCCCAGCCGCAGTTCGTCCACCCTGAGCATCGCTCCTTCGTCGATCTCTCGGGTCACAACCTGGCCAATCCCCATCCGTTCGCAGGTAGGCCTGTGGGCCCCTCCCCCTCCTGCCAAGAGCCCAGCTCCTGCTCAGAGCAGCCTGGCCGCCAGGTGCTGTGGTCCAGGTCACACGAGGAGCCTGAAGCACCGACAGAGGGCAGGCTCGGCCGTGGCTGCGGGCAGTGCTGAGCTTTTCCCGTTTCCTGTTGTCCCACGGGGTCCAGGGAAGCGTCCAGCGTCTGTGCGGGGGAGGTGGTGGGCACGGTGCCCCGGTGGGGTTCGTGGCCAGGACCGTCCGTCCATCCCGTTGCAGTGGTCCCCAGCACGGCCACCGTGGTGATCGTGGTGTGCGTCAGCTTCCTGGTGTTCATGATCATCCTGGGAGTGTTCCGGATCCGGGCTGCGCACCAGCGCACCATGCGGGACCAGGACACCGGCAAGGAGAGCGAGATGGACTGGGACGACTCTGCCCTGACCATCACCGTGAACCCCATGGAGGTGGGCGCAGCGGGCAGCCAGGGTCAGAGCCGGGCTCACCTCAGAAAGGCCTGTTTGAGGCCGTGCCACCGGCAGGAGTGGAGACCAAAGCTTTGTTTTCCATTTCGTCTTTGACAAGACGACTTCGAGCACGGCCCAGCCTGTCTGGCTGTGGAGTGTGACGCGGAGCCTTCCTCTGTGGGGCCGGGACGGGAACAAGCTGGGTAGTTGGGCTGTGAGCTGAGGTGGGGTTGGGGACCAGACTCACGTGGCCGTCTCTTTGTCAGACGTACGAGGACCAGCACAGTGAGGAGGAGGAGGAGGAAGAGGAAGAGGAGAGTGAGGATGGCGAGGAGGAGGATGACGTCACCAGCGCCGAGTCGGAGAGCAGCGAGGAGGAGGAGGAAGGCGGGGAGCACGGGGACCAGCAGCCGGCGAACAGGCAGCAGCAGCTGGAGTGGGACGACTCCACCCTCAGCTACTGAGCGCGCCCTCCTCCTGCCTCCTCGAAGTCTGCTGTCGGCTGCGCCCTGCCCCAGGCCCACCGTGTACAAAGTCGTCTGGCCAGTAGGTCTGCAGACCCTCCCCTCGCGACCGTCACCCCTGCTTGGTGTGCAGGACCCCAGGCTCCCTCCCTGCCCTCTGCCTGGACCTCTGTTGTGTGAGGAGCTGACACCCACTCCCTCCTGTCATCTCGCTCCGCGTGGCCCCTCGCACCTCCAGAAACGCTAAATCTGGACTCGGTGACAAAGGGTTAAAACTGCTCACTCCCACTGGGTAATCCTTTTGTTCTTTTTTTTTTTTTTTTTTTTAATTTTTTCCAAACTAGTGCATGTACAAAATGGCCGAATGGGGGTTCATATGTAGATGAACTTTTTAATATTTTGTAAATAAATTGGGATTCCTCGTGTCCTTCGTGCTAGTATAACCCAGGGTTGGAACGCAAGGTGAGGTGTGAAACCCTGAGCGCAGGAGACCCCTCGGGATCCTGCTCCCCAGACAAGAGCGGGTCTGCCCCCTCGGGCACTGGGCACCGGACTGTCCTACCGCAGGTCTCACTCCTGTGTGGGCCAGGGTGGAGGGGACCCTCTTTGGGGGCTGGAAAGGCCAGGTCCTGTCTTTGGGAGCCCACCCGTTTCCCATGCGGCAGCGGTGGGCGCTGGGTCCCGGTCTGTTTGCACACGGCTCCTCGTGCAGGAACCCGGACTCCTGTGTGCAGCCTGGGGCTCATGCTTAGCTGTTGGTTGCGTACATGAGGCATGTGGGTGATGCGGGAGGTGCACACCGTCTGCTCTTGGTCTGGAGACGGCAGCAGGCCCGAGTGTCCCATACTCAGAGTCTGGGGACCCACTCACTGACAGAGGCCCAGAGGCCCAGTCAGAGAGTCACCTCCGCCCCCTTCCCCCCCCCCCCCCCCCCAGCGGCCTGAACTCTGCTCTCCTCCCAGAGCCCACCCGCTCCCAGGAGTGCGGGGCCTGCCGCTGTGCTTGGCGGTGGAAGGAAAGGGGGCAAAAGGCATGAGTAAAACCCCACAGCACTTTGTTCTTAATTTACGTGTAAAACTTCAGATTTCTAAAACGGGGGTGGGGTGGGGGGTGTAATTTTGAATACTGTTCTGTGACCCTAACTGCTAGTTTCGAGGACACTGTGCTGTCGTGTGTCTGTGGCCATCCCTCCATGTGCTGTCACTGTAGCTGCTGTTTAGGCCGTGGACAGACACTAGCGGAGATGAGCCGTCCTGGCTGTCTGAGCCGCGCGGTCCCACCTCCGCGTGTACGTTGGAAAGAGGTCGGAAGTGTCTGCACTACAATAAAGCTCTGGTTCTAACTCCAGCAGGCGAGCTGTGGTCTTTCCTGCACCCCGGTTCCTCTCCGCGCCAACAACATGCCATGAAAAGGCCTTTATTTCTTCAGCTGCTTGTACCTCCTCCGAGGGGTCACATGCTGCTCCTCAGCCTGCACCGTCATGCTGAACGCTTCCCCACACAGAAACACAAAAGCGTTTAAAAAAATAGGTACTATTCTCCTCAGAGGCACACAGGCCGTGCGCCCAGTCAGAAGCTGCTGTGCACACAGTGAGCTGCCCACACCAGGGAGCACGCTGCTCCTTCACCTAAATACAGACACTCGGCTTCTCCTCGGTCCAGAGCGGTCGGGGGGTCTGAGGAGGCAGCACCTGCTGGGAGCAGTGTGGCTGGTGGTGTCCGTGGGCACGGACTGCTCCTGGGCTGGGGAGAGGCAGCGACCTCGGGCTCTGCTGAGCCTTGCAAGGCCTCGGCGGGATCCGCAGTGCAGCCTGCTGCTAGCTCACTAGGGTGGCTGCCGGCTCCTGGAGGCCCAGGTTCCGCCCCGCCCCAGCCAGCAGCAGAAGGCTGGGGGCCCAGGCCTGCCTCAGGCTACGAAGACCTCACGGAAAGGCCCACCACACCCCTAACTCACCGCAGGGACCTGACTGCTCAGCAGGTTCTCGAAAGTGAGATTCCGGAAGGGACCCATCCTTCCCTGAAACCTGCTTTAGGAAGCTCGCAGGGAACGGCACGAAGTCCTCTGACCTGCTTTCCCTTGAGCCACCACCAGGATGAGCTAATCGAGCTTGTTTAATGCGCCTGGACCAGCATATATTATACTTTATGGGGCTGAGGTTCCCTCCCTCAGAGGGTCAGTGAGTAGTTTGGCTATTGTTTTCTTACCCGCAAACAAAACCACTTTACAGCAGAGATGAGAGGATTCCCGTACCCAAGAGTCACTTTAAAAGTGGAAAGCAAGCATCCCTGAATCTAGGGGTACCAGGCTTCCTCGGGGAGCTGCCAGGATCAGGCGACGGAGAGCACGAGGTGGAGGGGCGAGCGGGCGGCTGGGCGCCCTGGCCAGCAGCAGGCACCAGGTAACTCGGGCTCCAGGACCTGGGCCGCCCGGCAGCCGTGGGAGAAGGCAGCTCCCGGGGGGTGAGTCTGCTGGGTCCAGGCCCACCAGCTGGAAGACGGGGTGCGGTCCCCCACAAGGTGCCACCTCCAGGTGCTGCCTCACAGTGTCTTCTCATCAGAGCCCAGGGCTCCGGCCGGCCGCAGGACGGCACCCTCCCCTGCACAAGGGTGCACGTCCGCTATGGCTGTTTAGTTCCTGAAACATTTCAAGTCATTAATAAATAACCAGTGTAAACAAAGGCAGTGAGTTCGTTCCCACCAGGCAGTTCAGGCTCCCAGGCCCAGATGGCCAACGGTGCCGGCTCCCAGGACGCATGGTTCGCTCCTGCCCAGGCCGGGGGCCGGCGGGGTCAGCAAGCGGACGGGCTGCTATTGCCGGTTGTCTTTGGACACGTTGTGGGCCAGCCAGTTCACTTTGGTCTTCCAGCTCTCCCGCAGCGCCTCGTTGAACTTCACGCGGAAGTGCTTCAGCGCCTCCTCCTCCGTTTTCCCCAGCGCCAGCGAGTCCTGAGGCAGAACCGGGAGCACTGAGCCTGGGCCTGCTCAGCGAGGCCCCCCTCCTGCCTCCCCTGCCTCCCCTCTCTGGGTATTTCCAGCTCCCTCCAAGGAGATGTGTGTGACGAGAGTGAGGGGGTGGCCCCCAGCGTCTCCCTTGGGAAGAGCTCTTTATGCTGATCCCAAACTAGACAGGCCCCTAGACCAGCGGTTCTCAACCTGTGGGTCGCGACCCCTTTGGGGGTCGAGCGACCCTTTCACAGGGGTCGCCTAAGACCATCGGAAAACATATATAATTACATTGTTTTTGTGATTAATCACTATGCTTTCATTATGTTCCATTTGTAACAATGAAAATACATCCTGCATATCAGATATTTACATTACGATTCATAACAGTAGCAAAATTACAGTTATGAAGTAGCAACGAAAATAATTTTATGGTTGGGGGTCACCACAACATGAGGAACTGTATTAAAGGGTCGAGGCATGAGGAAGGTTGAGAACCACTACCCTAGACCCAGCCTCAAAACAAGATGCCCACTGGCAACAGGGCCCGGCCGCGTCCACCAGGCCCGCTGCTGAGAAACACAATCAGGAGAGCCCCGCGGGGCCCACCGCGCTCGGGGGCAGGTCCCCTGGGTCACACTGCGGGGAGACAGGCCTGGGGCGTGGGGCACTGCTGTTGCCTGGCCGGCGGCCTGCCCTGGCCTTTACCTTGAGATACTGGATGTCTTTGGAGCAGCTGAGCTCTGGCAGGCCTGCCGCCCGCATCAGGGCGAAGAGGTGGAGGAAGAGCAGCCCATGGCGCCTCAGGATGGTGTAGGCTCTCTCGCAGTAGCCACGGAACCTGCACGGGAGGCGGGAGGCGGCCCTGGGTCCTCCTGGCGACTCCCACCCAGACCCGTTGCCTGGAAACAGCCCCAGACGCAGTCCCCACCCCCAGCCTGGCTCCTCCTACAGGACCCTCCAGGGGTGGGCGGAGAGCCCCCTCTCTGCACCCTGTCTGGGGCCCAGGGGCATTTGGGGGAGAGTGTCTGAGGCACCCTCACCTTTCAAACTTCTCACTGTTGTTAGTCTTCCCCTGCTGAATCACATGGACAAAGTCATAGGTGAGGATGAATGGGACTCGCTCACGGTTGATTCCAAACTTGGTCTTGAAATTCCCCAGAAAGTGGCCAAAATCAATGTGGAACAGCTGAGGGGCGGAAGGGAAGGGCACAGACTGAGAAGGAGCCAGAAAGGCCAGGGCAGGGGCCAGAAGACAGGTGCTGCCCACAAGTCAGCCCCCCGCTGCCCCTACCTGCCCGTTCTCGCGGATCATGATGTTGTCGCTGTGCCGGTCGCCGATGCCCAGCACGTACGTGGCCACACAGTAGCCAGCGCAGGAGAGGGTGAACTCCTCGATGGCCCTGTCCAGGGCCTCCCTGGGTAGGAGGAGGGGAGATTGGAAACCACGGCCTAGCCCTGCAGCTCCTGAGTCTTCTCTGCTGCAGTGAGGAGCGAGGCAGGAGGTGGTACCGGGGCCCAGACATGCCACCCTCCAGGCCCAGCGAGCGCCCCGATGGCTGCAGCTGCAGGAGTGGTCCCGGCAGAGCCATTTGGCTGAGCCAGGTCAAGTGGCAGCTTTCTGAGCCCACAATCAATGAAGGCTGTTTTGCATCCCTGAGTTGAGGGTGGTTGTTACACAGCAATGGGTAACTGATACATGGGGGCACGGAGACCCCCCCACCCCAACACAGACCCCGGCGGTCCCTGGCTGAGCCGAACGCCACAGAGATGTCACAGGCCTGTCCCTTCACCTTTGACTCCTGAACCTCGCCTCTCGGGGAGGAGAGGACACTGGTCCCCCCGGCCTGAGACCTACCCAGGGTTCTTGGACTTGAGCCAGTTGAGTAGGGCGTCCTTGTTGAAAGCGGCCGTGGCTGCCATGTTGCTCTTGTTGAGCTGGATGTTGGCGATGGTGTCTGAGCGAAGCACCACCTCGATGAGGCCCGTGCGGTCCCCGGTGGAGAGGCAGCCGTAGGGGGTCATCCTAACCGGGCGGGAGGAGGGCGGGCAATGGTCAAGGGCTGTCCCGGGGCGGCCTGACCACCGAGGAGCTCACCACACCCACAACAGCCACAGGAGATGCTCCTCGCGTGGTTGGAAATGAGGCGAAGCAGCAGCAGCTGGGAGGAGCCCGCGACTCCTGGGCCCGGGGAGGGCTGCTGGGTGGGTCGGCACAGCAACAAGATGCAGGTGGTCAGCACCCGGCTGAGCTCCTTTGCTCAGAGGGAAAGGCACGGGGCCGGGAAGCAGGTGGGCAAGAAGCCAGGGACGTGCGGGGCACGCACGTACACGGCCACCCAGTAGCCAGCGCCGGCGAGACGGACGCTGAGCGCCAGGCCGGCCTTCTCCACCCTCAGCCTGTGGCCCTATCGCCCCTTTGGCCCGAGTTGAAACCGGTCCCGATCTTCTCAGAACAGCCATTTCTCCGGAGGCGGTTATGTCAGCGTTGACAGGGAACCCCTCCGAAGGCACGGGGCCCCAGCCCGGCGCAGGCACAGACGGATGAGGGGGCTCCTCACCTCAGGTCCAGCCCCTCCTGCTTCCACAGGATGTCCATGAGCTGGATCATCTGCAGCGTCAGCATGTCCTGGCGGAGGTCTGTGCCGCCGGCCCCGGAAGAAAAAGCATGAGTTTCCGGAGGGTTCCGCACTCCCAGCCATGCCTAGGCCCCAGCGTTTCCGGACTTCTCCTTGGCTCACCCTCCAGGGACCCCGGGGCAGTGCAGGTGGGGAGGCCCGGCCGCTCACCGTCCCCGTTCTTAAAGATGATGCCCACGCTGCCGTCGCCGCCCGCCTCCTCGTTGCTGTACATGACCCACAGCGGCTTCATCTTGGAGTCCATGAAGGTGCACTGCTCCACACTGCGGGAGAGGGTGGTCAGCAGGGCCCCTCGAGGCCCCTGGGGGCGGGGGGCGGGGGGAGGCCTGCGCTGGGGCTCACCAGACTTCCGCCAGCAGGATCCTGGGGTCCAGCGGGGACTGCAGGTGGGACAGGGCCTCCAGGTAGGTCTCCTGGCGCATGCACAGGTGCATCAGCTCCTTGGTCTGCGGCTTGGGGCTCTTCTGGGAGCTCACTTTGACGAAGTCGTTCAGGGCCTTCAGCTTGCTCAGCGCCTCCCCCTGGCCGGAGAAGGGAGGGCAGCGTGAGCAGGCCGGAGGGGCAGGCCCGGAGCCTCGGGCCGGCCCAGGTGACTCCAAAGGGGCCTGGCTGACCCTGCCCAAGAGTGGAGCCCAGCCTGGGTTGCGGGCAGGGCCCCAGCCTCACCTGCTTCATCAGCACCTTCATGTGGTGGGTGCTGCCCCTGCAGTAGGCCTCCATGATGAGGCCGAAGCGTAGGGCCACCGAGGGCACGTGCATCTCGGAGCTGCAGGGGGGAGAAGGGGCTGAGCCTCCCCGGGCAGGGCCACCCAGGCCCTCCCAGCCCGTCAGGACACCCAGGCCGCGGCCATGTGAGGCCAGCAGGCAGGAGGCCCCTCCTCCCCGGGCCTGCCAGCTACCGGAGGTGCCAGAAGAGGAAGTGGCCGATCTTGCGGTTGGCCAGCGCCCGGTCCAGCAGGAATTTCGTCAGCTCGCAGTCCAGGTAGGACTCGTACTTGAGCACCTGCACCAGCTGCAGCAGGTACTGGAACAGCTCGTCGTCCCTGCAGGGAAGCGAGGCCGCTGGGCCTGGAGCTCCTCGGCTCGGGCGGGACTGGGGTCTGCAGGCCCCAGGGAGGGTCAGTCCCCACCCTCCTGGGGGAGCCGGAGCCCGTGGGACTCACGTCAGCTTTCGCAGGGACTTGATGGCGAAGGAGCCCACGTGGCGGTCGGGGAAGCTGGAGTCCAGCAGCTCCAGGGCGCTCAGGACGGGCAGCTCCGGCCAGGAGCAGAGCAGGTAGAGCATCTGGGGGGGCTGGCGGTCAGGGGGGCTGTGCCGCTCCAGACCGCCTCCCCCCCTCCAGCCCTCCCCTGCGCCCACCTGGGCCACGTCCTCGTGCCTGTTCCACTTGGTGACCAGCAGCAGCCGGGCCAGCGCCTCGGGGAAGCGCTCCTGCACCTCGTGGCGCATCTTCCACACCAAGTCCTTCTCGTGCTCGTACAGCTCCCCGGACCCGGACCCGGACCCGCGCCGCTCCAGGATTTCCCGGAGCTGCAGCTGCTGCGGGGCGAGGGGGAGGCTGCAGCTGGCTACGCCCGCTCGGTGCCCGGTGCCCGGCCCTGCACCCCAGCCCTGCACCCCACCGCCCGCGGCCCCGCTCACCTCCTCCTCCGTGGCGCGCCCGTGCTCCCCGTGCCGCCCCAGCTCCAGGATCTGCAACAGATGGCCCTGCTCTCAGCGGTGCCCCAGGGCCCGGCCAGCCCACAGGGCCCAGGCAGGCGACAGCACTGCTGACCTGAGGGCCGTGACTCTCCAGGCAGGACTGTCCTGTGCGCTGGAGGGAGGTCAGCAGCATCCCTGGCCTCCACCCACCAGAAGCCAGGAGCCTCTCCCCCACTGGCTGGGACACCGAGAACCTCACTACAGGAGGAGCTACACGGGGAGCCCTAGCCAGTCTGGCTCAATGATGAGAACATCGGCTGTGGACCGAACGGTCCTGGATTCGATTCCGGTCAAGAGCATATGCCCGGGTTGTGGGCTCGATCCCCAGTGCCGGGGGTGCAGGAGGCACTGATCAATGATTCTCTCTCATCATTGATGTTTCTATCTCTTCCTTCTTGAATTCAATAAAAATATATTTTTAAAATTTAAAAAAATTTAAAAGACTGTCTTTGGCTCTCCCTAGATGGCAGAGTGGCCCCTTGAGAACCACTGTTGAGGGCGCAGGGACCATGCCCTGGGGGTCCCAGAGGCAGTCAGGGAGGTCACCTAACTTAGCCCACAGCCTCTGCAGAGCAGGTCCGGACCCAGGTGGCGAGGCCCCCACTGACCTTGTCCAGGGCGGGGTAGTACACGGGGTGGGGCGCCACCTCGGGGAGACAGATGACCAGGGCGGCAGCACTCTCGGTGTTGGGGTTGCTGCACACGGTTCCTGTGGGGTTCAGCAGCTCCCCTTTCTCGTCTGGACAGGGGGACAGGAGGAGTTACACGGGGAACACCCCCCCTCGGGGAAACCCCCACACACGCCTCCCCCTGCCTGGCCGGGGCCAACCTGGGACCGAGGGCCACATGTAGAGGCAGCGCTCGCCGGTCTTGAGCTGGTCCTTGTAGTCGAACAGGGTGAGGTTAGCCCAGGCGATGGGGCAGTCCTGCAGGGAGGGGGCGGCTCAGGCCCGGGCGGCCTCCCTCGCCGGCCAGGTCCCTGCACTCAGACTCCCTGTGAGGGTGGCTCCCTTCTGCTCCCCACTCCCAGCTGCCGGAGGAACCCCTAAACACGCCACGTCAGCCCCGGAAAGCTGGCCCGGCTCAGCGGCCAGTCACCTCCTGGGGCCGTGACTCAAGAGCCCAACCACCGCCCCTGCCTGGCCGCTGCTGACTGGGCCGCCCGCTCCCTGTGTCCTTCCTCCCGGGCAGGGGCCTCCAGGTTCCCACAGGACCAGAGGCCCCGCCAATGTTCCGAGCCACCTGCTAGCAAGCCCGGGACCCAGACCCCTCACGCCAGGGGCAGTGGGCAGGGTGGGAGGCTGGGGAGGCGGGTCCCCAGGCTGAGTGACTCCGGGGTGCAGGATGGACAGGGCCCGGCCTCCCAGCCGCCCCACCCACCGCCTTCTTGGACTTCTTCTTGGTGGAGCGAGCCTTCTTGGCCTTCTCGATGACGGCGTACAGCGCGAAGCAGAGCCGGGCCATGCGGGGCAGGTCGCACACGTTGATGTCGAACTCCAGGCGCTGCTTCCACACGGGCTCCGAGCACACGCTCACCTCCGAGCTGGACACCGTCTTGCACAGCGTCTCGTTGCCGTGGAAGAGCCCGGCCTGCACCACCAGCTGGGAGGTGGGGAGAGGTGACAGGTGGCAGAGGCCCGGCCTCTCTCCCCACCCAGGTTCTCCCACCCACCTAAGGCCAGAACCTCCTCCCAAGATGTCCTCATGGGTCTGAGGGCAGGGGGAGGGTGAAGGGAAGGGTGCCGTGGGCTGTGCATGGGGGACTGGTCTCAGCTCCCAGTGACTGTGGGACCCCAGATCATGTTGCTTCCTGCTCTGGCATCAGTTTTCCCAGCTGGACTCGGGAACTCCAGGGACCTTGAGCTCTAACACCTGAGGGCTCCCTCCTCCCCTTCGTCCTATTGAGCCCCTGCGGCTGGGGAAGGAGCCCCCCGTTTTCTCCTCGGAGGCCTGAGGCTGGGAAGGAGCCCCATGCGG